TATTGAAGAGAGAAAGGTTGTGGTCTGATAGCATATGCTCCACAGAATGATCCATCAATATCAGCACCATCCCAGAGGTGATGGTGGGGACAGGGACTGGAGTTGACTTGACTTGGTGAGACAAAGACTGGTAGAGGCACAGAAAGATCTGTCTGCACTCCTACTGTAGCTGTAGAACAGAGTGCAGCAGCATATGTCTGAGGTGGAATTGGGGACGACAACTTCCAGGCTTCTAGATAAGAGATATTGATTACAGTACATAAAAATTGTACCTTTTCCTTCCACCAACTTAGGGCAAGAATGAAAGTATGAGGTATGAGTACCACCATAATTGACACAGTAAGAGTCCAGTTGACACTCGTAGGCATCATGGTCTTTGCCACCACAACGAATACACATCAAAGGACCACGACAAAATGCCTTGGAATATTTGAACTACTGACACTAGAAACACCTGAGACAGTTAGAAATATAAGGATGTCTCGACAGTGGCAGGTGGATGTGGCGATGTAAACGTCAATACAAGAACATTAGTAGGCAGCATAATTCCATCTTTATGAGTGGAGATACGCCACACAGCAGAAACTCTCTGGCTGGAGAAACCAGCTAGGATCTCTGACTTGGGGATGTTTCTTAAATCCTTCTCAACAATAGCTCCTCGTGACGAATTAAAATTAGCAAAGGGAGTAACCTCAATAGGTATATCCCCAATAACCTTTGATTTCAGGAGGAGTTTGTTGTGTTTTGATGTAGATGTCCCCAAAACGTAGCTTCTTAACGGACTTTAGAGAGCCACCAAGCCCCTGTAATCCATTCTGAATGAGAAAGAGAAACATTTGCCTTAAAGGTTTGTCCGACAAAGAATGAACAGTGAGAAAATGAGGTACAGGAACAGAATGGTGTGGTGACTGCTGTTCAGAGTTTTCCAAACGTGGTCACTTTACCATCAGCGAGTGTTTTTTTTTTTGGGGGGGGGGGGTGGAGTCACTGGGTGCAGGATCCATAAAAA